ATTCAAGATTAGGTTATCCTTCTATTCCTATAATGCATCAATTAATTAAAGCAGACAGTACAGTCTGCTCTTCTTTATCATCATGTAAAGATACTCTAGAACAATGCAGTATTTGTCCTTTATCTAAGCAGACCAAATTACCTTATTTCACTTAGTTCTATTCAATCTAAACAGTGTTTTGAACTATTACATTTGGATGTATGGGGTCCCTATAAAGTTCAATCTCTTACAAATTGTCAATATTTCTTAACAATAGTTGATGATTTCAGTCGTAGTACTTGGACACTTCTTTTCCAACAAAAAAGTCAGGTTCCATCACTGATCTCCCTGTTTCTAAAAATGACTAATACTCAATTTGAGGGTAAAGTTAAAATGATTAGAGCTGACAATGGAATGGAATTTATTAATCATACTTGTTCTCAACTCTTTACTGATCTTGGTATTTTACATCAAAGATCATGTGTTTACACACCACAACAAAATGGTGTTGTAGAGAGGAAACATAGACATCTCCTTCAGGTTGCAAGATCACTTCTCTTGCAATCAAAGTTACCTAAAACCTTCTGGGGTGAGTCTTTACTCAGTAACTTACCTTATCAACTGACTTCCTTCTGTATTGCTCAGTTGGAAGTCTCCTTTTGAAATTTTGTATGGCTGTAAGCCTAATTTATCAATCCTGAGAAACTTTGGATGCAGGATGTATGCTTTAGATAATAACCCTAGCAGAGATAAACTTGATCCACGTTCATTTGAAGATATTCTAGTTGGTTATCCACACTTACAGAAAGGTTACAAGATATATGTACCTTCTTGACATAAGACCGTCACTTCTAGAGATGTGATCTTCCATGAGCAGGTGTATCCTTCTCTGACGGAAGAATCATCACCAATCACCTCCTTTGATCAAGACATTTCAGATTCATTTTTCCCTTCTTACCTTGATGATCATACTCCCTTGATAGATGATCCTGCTTCACCAGTCACTTTAGATTCTCCTAATCCATCTACTTCTACCTCATCCTCATCTTCTGTCTCTTCATCTGATTCCATCATAATACTAATCCAGAGCCTACTCCTAGAATTAGTACAAGAATAAGACATCCACCAGTTTGGATGGCTGATTATGATACCTCTTTTGTTTCCATTATATCCTCCACTGTTCTACCTCATATCATTACACCTGCATGTAGTACATTTGTTGCAAACGTGTCTGATTCATCTGAGCCTAATACTTATAATCAAGCAAGGACTAATCTTAAGTGGGTGGAGGCTATGAAAACTGAGTTGGCAGCCCTTGAAGTTAATAATACATGGGCATTAACAACTTTACCTGTTGGAAAGAAAGCAGTTGGTTCTAAATGGGTATATAAAATTAAAAGGAATGTAGATGGAAATGTAGACAGATACAAAGCTAGACTGGTTGCTAAGGTTTATAGTCAGATTGAAGGAGAAGACTTTTGTGAAGTTTTTTCACCAGTAGCTAAAGTAGTCACAGTGAGAATTGTATTTGCTATAGCTTCTGTTAAAAACTGGTCAGACCATAAGCTTGATGTGAACAATGCTTTCTTACATGCGAAGTTAGATGAAGATGTATATATGCTACCACCATTGGGTTATGATAAAGCTCAGAATGGACAAGTATGTAAACTAAAGAAGTCTTTATATGGTTTAAAGCAAGCTTCAAGGCAGTGGAATCAGGAATTTTCTGCTAAGTTGGTTGCCTATGGTTTTCAACAATCATACTCAGATCCTTGTCTCTTTACTTATGTCACTGCTCGTTGTCAACTTTATTTTCTGGTATATGTGGCTGATGTTCTAATTACACGAACACATGCCTCAGAAATTACTAAAGTTAAGATTTATCTTCATGATCTCTTCACAATTAAGGATTTGGAACATGCTAAATACTTCCTTGGAATGGAAGTGGCCAGAACTCCCACAGGTATATATATTCACCAAAGCAAGTATGTTACAGATCTCTTGGCTTCAACTGGACTCCTCAACTGTTCAACTCCTTTTTCCAGCAAGATTAGTATTTGTTTCAGAAGACAAAGATTCAACTCCTCTCTATTCTGATCCTATGCAGTACAGAAGATTGGTTGGTCGACTTTTATATTTGAATTATACCAGACCTGATACAACCTATGAAGTTCAACAACTCAGTCAGCATGTATAGAAGCCACACATGTCTCACTGAAATACAGCACATCAAGTTCTTCTATACTTATCAGGGAGTGTTGATCAAGGTTTGTTTTATTCATCCAGCTCTAATTTTAACATCATTAGAGTCTAAAGTGATTCAGATCGGGGATCATGCAGGTCATCAAGACATTCTTTAACTGGTTATTGTATCTTCATTGAAGATAGTTCAGTGAGCTGGAAAACTAAGAAACAAGGGACTATATCATGCTCCTCAGCAGAAAATGAGTATAGAGCCATGGCTATGGCCATTAGAGAACTTCAATGGATTCTATATGTGTTGAAGGATTTCACTATCTCTCCATCACTACCTAATTCCTTTCTACTGTAACAACAAGGCTGCCTTGGATACCACAGCTAACCCTATATTTCATGAAAGGACGAAACATATTGAGATTGACTGTCATATGGTTCGAGATCAATACAAGGCTAGTTTGTTGCTTTCTTTATACATCTCTTCTTCACTTCAGCTGGCTGACTTCTTCACCAAATCACTACCAGCAGCTGTGGAGTGCTCATCTTGAGGAGGGGGTAAAGAATTATCCAAAGTTAGTTCCTCAGAAGACTTCAGAAGCAAGAATCGAATCCGAGTCACCTGATGGAGCACAACGAGTACACAGATGATCATGTGCACCTGATCCTGGCCGGGATGAGCTGTTAAAACTTTGTCTTGTAGTTTAAGCTCCTTCCTGGAAGTTTCTTTAGGTCCTGATTTTGTAAATATGATAGATTACTCAGCAAGACTTCTGGTATTTAAGGGAACATGATTCCTCTTTCTTCATTGATGATATACCAGAATTTTGGTTCTCTCCTTCTACTGCTATATACTCTTATTATTTGTCAATCCATATGATCCTTTATTCCCTGTTTAATCTGTTAATTTAAGAAATCCATTGTGTTAATCTGGTCACAGATTTTGTGCTAATTAGTGCTAAATTTACAAATTTTAGAATTCTCTAATTCATTTTAAGACTTCCCATACTGATCTGTTAATGAAGCTAATGTTTTGACTAACAATCTAATCGTTTATAACTTAAAAAAAATACGTATATCCATTATATTGTAGAAAAACAAATAAATAAATATTAAAATAATAGCACACTATATAAACGTTCAAACAAATTAACCTACTCAACCATTTCCCCCCCAAAAAAAGAAGAAAAAAAACTAGTTGTATAACTACGTGTTCTTTGGTTTTGTCTTGCAAGTGGAGGAAAATGGTGTCTGGGCAGATGAAATTACATACAACACGGATTATTCGAGGGCTTCTTAATGTAGGAGAATTTGATGATGCTGTGATCTGTATCAAAGAGTCAGTTCGAAGAAGATTTCCAATAGATTTATCAACTGTCTCACTTTTACAAAGTTAATTCCGTATCTTGGCCCCCACTGGATGAAGTCTTAGTTGGAAGTGGTGGCGAATGATATTGAAGATGATGAGGGCGAAGCGAAATCCTTTTTCACATTCAACAGTTGCTAGAAACTCTGTATTTTCATTGAACTGTAAGCCGGAATCTCTTGCATCAGAATATCATAATGTTGCCTCCGATTCTGTTCCAAACAGAGTGAATCTGTATTCCGGGTTGATATCCGGGCTCCTCAATCACATTCAAACTTCGGATGATGCCATTGAATTGTACCAACAGATGGTCCGAATGAGTCCTACGCCCAGCGAGATTGCTTTCGCTCAATTGCTTGGCCGCGTGGCTAAATTGAAGCACTATTCACTTGCCATTTCACTCTTCAACGACATGACTGCTCTGTGATTCCGGTAAACGATTATATGCTCAACACTCTGATTAATTGTTACTGTTTGGTGAATAAGGTTGATTTTGGGTTCTCTATATTGAGAGGGTTTTTTTAAGCGTGGTTTTGTACCTGATGCGTGCACTTATAGTACTTTACTCAAAGGGATTTTCAAGGAAAAACGGATTAGCCAGGCCCAAGAATTGTTTAGAAAGATAATTCGTGAAAAATTATGTGTTCCCGACGTTGTCATGTGCAGTAGTGTGATAGATGGGATCTGTAAGGTGGGAAATACTAGCCTGGCCCTTAAATTTCTCAGAGATTTGGAAAGAGAAAGACTTGAGCTTAATGTCATTACGTATAATTCTATCATTGATGGTTTGTGCTAGGATAATAAGGTAGATGAATCAATTGTTCTCTTACGTGAGATGATTGGGAAGGGCATTGCCCCAAATGTTGTTACTTGTAATAGTTTGATAAAGGGTTTGAGTACTATAGGTCAGTTGCCTGAGGCTATAAATCTATTCAAGGATATGGTGAATTTAGGCATTGCTCCAGATACTTATACTTTTAGTACACTGATTTATGACTTATGTAAGGAAGGGAAAATGAAAGACGCAGAGGGTTTAGTACATATGATGACTCAATATGGCCAGAGCCCCAATGTTGTCACTTACAATGCTCTCATGGAAGGATGTTGTTTGCAGGGTCGAATCTGCAAAGCACAAGAATTTTTTGATACCATGGTTAGAAGTGGTCTTGTTCCAGATATGTTCTCTTACTGTATATTGATAGATGGGTATTTCAAGAGATTTGAAATTGATCAAGCAATGCAACTCTTTCGCGAGCTTTTCCGGAAAGGATGTACCCCAAACGCCGCTGTATACAACACTGTCTTGAAGGGTTTATTTAGGGCAAGAAGGTATACCACTGCAAGAGATATTTTCATCGAGATGCAGTCAGTCTCTATACCTCCTGATTTTAATATCTATTGTGTAATTCCGCACGGCCTATGCAAGAGTGGTTCTGTTGGTGAAGCCTTTGAATTTCTGCAGAAGTTGGAAACTGAGGGAGTGGAGCTTCACACAACTATGTATAATATCATTCTTGACGGTTTGTGCAAATGCGGGAGGCTTGATACTGCCAGAGGTCTTTTCCAAAGTATCTCCTCGAAAGGACTGACTCCCGATGTCAAAACTTATAACACAATGATAACTGGGAATTTTCGTGGAGGGTTGGTTAAGGAAGGCAAAGGTTTTCTTGAGCTAATGGAAGAGAATGGTGTCTTGGCAGATGAAATCACATGTAACGCGAGCATTCGAGGGCTTCTTAATATAGGTGAATTTGATGATGCAGATATCTATATTAAAGAGGCAGTCCGGCGAAGATTTTCAGTGGACGCATCAACTTTGTCACTTCTAATCAAGTTATCCTCAACCAAGGAAAACAATGCGGTCCTCACAAAGTTAATTCAGGATCTTGGTCCCCGGAGGATGAAATTTTAGTTGGAAGTAGTGGATGATATTCAATCTTCCCCTTGCCTCTACGTGGTGGTTATTACATAAAAATGTTGAGATTTAAGCTACCATGGTGAATAGAGGTACCTCTCATTATGCTGCTGAAGTGATAAAAGTGGAGGGTGAAGGGTTCTCTTGTTATGTGGCTATTTGAACCGTTGATTGTTGCTATCATAGACCGATTTATTGTGTTTTTTGCAGACTTACATGCCAAAAACTCAACTACTGCTCTTCTTGATGTTTGCACTCTTAAACCATCAAAACAAGATTTCACTGATAGAGTCAAAACCTGTTGCTTAATTTTAAACATTGCTATCCTCTTAAAACTAGATCTTAATGCTTTGTTGCTCGTTTGATTTCTATGATTTTCAGCCCGATATGGTTGAACAAGTATTTAGGATGGCATATTTTTAGATCTTATTTTTAAAAATCTCTCTATTGTCTTCTGCTTTGGAATAAAAAAACATTAATTTCTTGTATGATGTGCTTATTCTTGATCGCCTGTAGCGCACACACCTGCTACTTGTTCCTTGAGAAACTGCTGTCTCTACAGGCTTTTTAGGTGAAAAGGGAGAACGGTCTTCTGTTCCTGCATTCTCCTATACCTTAGACTGTTAGTGAGATCATTAAATTGCTTTTAATAATATTAGATAAGAAACCATATTCTCAAGCACTTAGCAATCAATATTAAATTCTGCCTGGTAATAGTTTTTATTTGTCCTTGAGCTTCTACCCTTATCTGGTATATGCTGGATGCAGGACCGAGCGTGAGCTGTGTTATCAGCTCTTGGGACTGCTGATATCTCTGGAATTAACAGGCTGGAAGATGTGCAAGCTGCTAACGTTTTTGTATATTTAGTGTTGTTGAAAGGTTTCTGCCGAAGTCGACACTGGATGACATATTTGAAGTGTGGCCGAGTTGGAGCTGGTGAGGTAGATTTTTTAAAATTATGTATGATGCCGTCATGAGCAGATTGGCAATTATCTTGATCTTGCAGGTGATTTTATTTTATTTTTTGCAATGTTCTTTGTACGGTGGTGCTTCTTGATTGTGTGACATACAAGGTTATAAATAGTCCCCCTGGAGGTCTGTGAATGATGTCAAGGAGTTTCTTTTGCGAGTGGAAGAGATTGATAACATTGCTAGGGAGTGTACAAATATTTTCACAGTCCCAGGCAGTTCATTATAAATGTGATGATGTAACCATCTCGAGGAAATGGTCAGGAGAAAATTCCACTATAACCATCTAATTTGTCCAGTTTTCTATATCTGAATAAACCATTCTTCTATACGAAAGATAACTTTGAAGCCGGTGATAATTACAAAGACTTTTGTAAACGGAAGACGGAGATTTCAATACATTGCAACCCTCTGGCACATCCCGAGTTCAAAAGCCTGGTCTTGAAGAAGATTGAGGCTGAGCCACCATACATTTTGCTTCTTGTTGGAATAGTCTGCTGCTCCATTTGAGGAAGACCTGCGATAATATCGACTGTGTTTCTGCTGTGCAATACTCATTATTCCAATTTTTGTATGTGGAAAGATGTGAGTGTATTCAGTTTACTTGATCTTCTGTTTTAACAGATAAAACGAGCATTTGGAAAATTATTTACTGTGTTCGATTGTTACTTATTGATATGCGGGGAGAAAGTAAGAAAAGAGAAGTAAAAGATAAAGAATGTCTGTAAGCAGATGAGTAAGGAGAAACCTTTTCTTAAGTATTTGATGAATAGTATTAGTAAGTAAAGGAATTCATCTTGTATGTATTTCTGCAAGGTTTTTGGGTTCTTACCTACTCATAGAGTGTTATGGCATTTGGGATAAGTAGGATGGAATTTTTCCACTTCTGTTGAGAGTATATGTGCCTAGTCACATAGTTCTCTGTTTTTTTTTTCATTGTTCTCTGTGAGTATGTGATTCTTTGTCTTTTCCATTTGAAAAGGTTTTGTAATGTGTTTGCAACAAAACCGAATACAGACTAGTGTGTGTATGTTTATGTTACATATATATATTTCTCTGTTTCCGTATTTACTGAAAAATTCCTATGCAGAGTACCTACAAATTGGGTAGCCATGGGGAATATTTCCTGACAGTGAAAGAAACATTCAGTGCGAGTTTTTTTTACCATGTAGCTGCAAGCTGTATTGCTTTTCTTTAAATTTTTAGGTTTTGGGGATCCATACTGCATATTGACCAGATTAATTTGGTTTAGGGGGATCGGCTTCCTTTTTCATGCTTCATTCTGACTTTCTGAAGCCTTTTTTTAGTTTGAGTGCATTGTTCTTGTGATGCTGTTATTATCAGCTTCAATTGCGCTTCTTTTGCACTTTATATATTCTCCAAAGCTTCTTATATATACCTCTGTTTCTTCCTTGTAGAACCAATTGATTCATCAAGGAGAAGTTTTTGCTGTTTAATTACGAGGGAAAACAGAAGAGATGTTGGTTATTGCTAATACCGACGTTCTGATTCACAAATGGAGGTTTCTTGCTTTCCCAGAGATGCTGCAAGTTATGGAGCCGTGGTTGTTAAGATTTGTTTGGTTCTACGCTAGGAACAGTTTGAAACTGATTTGGTGCAAAGATAGTAGCAGAAAGTTGATTAATTCTCGGACAATGCTTGCTGTCCTAATAATGGGCCAATAAAGTGATTAGGCTTCCTAGTTTCACAAGAAAAGTTCAAAAAAATGCTGTCATGAGATTGTCTGGTTTTCAAGCAACTTGGCTAGTTTTATTTGTGGTTGTTGATCATGTTGTTTGAGACTTGTAGTTTATACATTAATTATTATTACTTGTAAATCCCACTGTTTTGGACCCCACTTAATTTGTTTGATCTGTGAGAAAATTTGTTACTTATTTCCTATCTAAAAGTGAGTTTTGCGCAAATGTTATCCTAGCATAGTGATAAGTTTCTTAGTTGAAGGTTGAAAGATTTAGGGTGATTGAATCTCATTTAGGGTGAAGTGGGCTATAAGCATTGTTATGAGAAACAAACAATAAAATAAAAAATGTATGAATAAATAGGTTACTTCTTTTCCAGTGTTAACTGTAAAAGTAAGTTAATGTAGATGATCACATTCACAAATCACAATTGTTACGGTTAATAAAATCACCGAAGGTCCGGAAAAACTATAAAAGGAGTAGTGGTACTGTATATTTTTCTGTCTCTAAGAAGATTGTTGTGTAGAATGAAATATTTTGGAATAGGGGATGAAATCTACTAAAAATGAAAATCTAAATTGGACAAATATTTTGTAAAAGAAAAATAGATTACAATCTTCACCTTTTTTGAGAGGACTGGAGTTTACTGATATCAAGAAATATATAATGTTTGTCAAGAACAACTCAAGTTTAGTAACTCAGAAATGTACAAAGTGCCCTCTTCCGCCCGAGATAATAGTTTACATTATTAATTATAAATTGTATTATAATTCGTGAATAAAAAAATTCCCTTAAAACAAATGTCGGGAAGTTATTTTTCCCAAAAATATTATTAAATTAATACAAAACCATCAACTTCAGGTTCAGGGGCGGGTAAGTTGATATTTTATGTTTGAAGTTGATAGTTCAATTTCTACTTCATTAGTTTGGGGAATTTTTGAAAGAAGCAGTAATGAGTATTGTCTCTTAATTATTATTTTCACTGACTAGATTAAATACAATATGAGCCCTAAATCTACATATAGGGCGTTGACGGATGTGAATTTCGATTTCCCATTTGGTTAGAAAATTGAGCACAAGTTAGAAACTTTAACTAAGAGTGTTCAGGCGTTGGCAAAGTCAACTTTACAGTTAGCCTTAACACTTTAATACTAGTTTAGACTATGCATTAGTATTGAATACAACGATCCACAAAGGTCATTCCCATAATAATCACACAAGACTCTTTATGTATAACAGTAGCTCTAAACACTCAATACCGAATCTTCTTACATCCACCTTTAATTTCCTTTGTTTCTCAAACCGAAACAGTTGCTAGTTTGGGAAGCAGCTCCACCGTACAATCCCACCAGAAGCTGTAATCAACGGTATAAGGAACGGAATTGCTCCTCGTCGTCGGGCCATTTAATCCATTCTTCATATTCATAGTCCAAATAGTATTGAGCTATGTCCGGAAAACAACAATATTCCTCAACCTCCAAATCAAACTGATGGATTCCCTCGTTCATCGTCATTGGCGTCGGGACCGGATCATTTCTTGTTCCTTTATCTTCTCCTTCTTCGTCCTTGTTTTTGACATTATTATCATTTTCGTTCTTTTCACATGAACTATGAAGATCTGTTGAGGGATTGTCAGGGTTTGGAGAAGAAGCGGTTTGAGAACTTCCAAAGATCAGCTGGTTGTTAGAATCATCTAACGAATTGATTTGGGAGTCACGAATGTTTTGGCCCTTCAAGAATGAGCTTGTTCCCAAACCTGCTTAGGAGGGGGAAAAAGAAAAAGGATTGCAAGGAAAAATGAGTACATATGAACTCCTGTGTTATGTATTTTTTCAAATAATAATCATTCTTACAAAATCCTTCAGTAACTGTAAATCAAATACTTGTTGAGGCATTCTTATATTTAAATAAACTAGGGTTTTGTTGGGAAAACTTACATTATAAAATAATACTTGAACTACATATTGAAGA